GGTATGACTGCTCTGCAGAGACGAGCAGTGGGGAATGCATCCGTTACGCATGAAGATGAGGGGTTGTAGCGTTCATTGGCCTGCTGCGAGTTTTAGGTTACCACGCTAGTCAAGTAGATTGTTCTGGACTCGAGTACTTTCGTGAGAGACGCTTCTACCAGTCCATAGTGGCCTCTTGATCTGACAATCGCAAATTGCAAGGTTCCAAATGTGATATACCTGCAGGTCATCAAAGGAGAATTCGATGTCGCTGTGACTCTTGTCAGATGCCCCTATTGCAAGGACGATGAGTAGGCAACTTTGGAAGAGGTGTGCCACGGATTGTTAGTGCAGACACGGAAAGGAAATTGCATGTAACAGCTCCTTCTGTGCTAGCATAATCAGTGGTAGAGCATTGGCCTTCTGTGCCAGGATAGGATGGGTCAGCCATCCGTCCGCCAACATTATGGGTGGACGTTGGCGGTCAGACTTAATGGCACCACTCTGTCCATTGACGGGATTTTGAGGAATGCAGCAGAAGGTCAATCCCGACGAAGGGTGGGGAATGGACCCATCGGACTTTCTTTGATTAAGACGAGCCTGAAGGTCTCCGGTCTCAGCCTCGGAATGGGAGAACAGATTCTCCCCACTGACTAGCTATTATGCCGGTGAAGCTTATTATCGAGTGTGACTGGTCGGGGTCTAAGCCCGGCCTCTCCCAGGCTGGCGGTGTTGTCCTGGGGGGGGGATGGGGATGACGAATTAGGGAGTGCATGATGATTCTTTTGGGCCGTGCAGAAGTGCGTCGGATGTGGGTAGTACATCCCCTATGCAGGTAGGAGGTTGGCACATCATTCGCATCACCGTGAAGTGCAACATACAAAATCAGTAAACAGTCAACGCGGGACGGAAACCCCGGGACTTACCCTAAAAGAGTAGGAACCCCAAGTCGCAGGCGTCTCCACTGTGATGGAGGGAAGAAGCCATTTAGGGGAGAGAATTAGAGAAAACCAGCAGAATGGACAGCCCCTGTTGGTGAGATGTTGGGAGGGGATCCACTTCGTATCGCTGCAGAATGGTGGATCCCCGGCTGAGTCTGAGGGTGTGAGAGAGACACAGACTGACTTCGGAATTGCGAACACCCCGGCTATCTTAGTCTGGATAGGGAATAGTAATTGGGTCCGCCCAAGTATGAAGTAACTTTCAGCTTGGACGGCCGCACGTCAAAGCAGCAAAACTCTAATATCCTTTCAAAGGCTCTAGCGAGAGTCTATAGGCGAGAGGTACCACTGTCTGCTGTATGACAGCCCAGGGTCAGTGGAGGGCAAAATTCCCGGGCCCGCACCGTCGCGGGAAAGGCCCAAAGTTGGCTCAAAACCGGATTCCCGTCATGGTGCCTTGGAGTACATTTGGATGCCTTGCCCACAGTGGCCTCAACCTTGAGTTTTAAGGTTCATCCTCGTTATTGAGTAGACTCAACGTAGATTTGTCATGGCGATGCGTGAATCATGCACAAAGTACTTGACCCAAGGGCTTACAGCAGCCGGGCGGCCGATCCGCCCCATCGTCCCCTTCAGCCTGGCCAACCAACAACTTTGGATTCTTGCTCCTCGCGTTGCAGAAAAGGCAGCGACTGTCTATCAGCGGGGTCCATTCTTCAAATGTGCTCGAATCATTGCCGCTGCCGTCCGTCCAGCCCTGGATGGTTACCAATTGACGCTCCAACTAGAGGGCATAGTTCGCACGGGCCCGGTCCACTAAAGGGGGCCTGTCAAACTCCACTGCAGAATCCGTGACCGGGATTTCTGGCGCGGACCCAAGCCCTCGGGACAACTATGTTGGCTGTCTCTCTGTCTGTCTGTCGGTCCCCCTGCTACCCACAAACGCCTATCTAGATATATCTGCACGTCCCGCCAGGATCCCTACCGTTTGGGGATCTCCTCCTTCCTCATGTATCTCCTTTGGCATCATGGGCTTGATCCAAGGCCTGGTGGCCGGCCTTTTATCGGTCGCTGACTCCCCTATTGCCTTGTGTGCTGTCTTGACGGCCACCTTGATTGTCTACTCCGTCGGATTGGGAATTTATCGACTCACTTTACATCCTTTGGCCAAGTTTCCTGGTCCCAAGCTGGCTGCTTTGACATACTGGTATGAAACCTACTTTGAGGTTTTCAAGTCGCCTGGGGGGCAGTTCTTGTTCCAGTACCACAAACTGCACGACAAGTACGGTGAGTCACGAGATCATGGGCAATGCCATAGCAAGCAAACTTAGCAAGCTGACATGGTCACTACGTTCTGTAGGACCCATCATTCGCATCAGCCGGAATGAGATTCACATCAGGGACTCGCCGTTCTTCGAGGAGATGTTCTCCAATTCCCTCCCATGGAATAAGCCAGAACATCTCCAGTATCGCTTCGACAATGCCAAGGGTACCTTCTCGACCCCAAAGCATGAAGCTCATAAGCCCAGACGTGCTGCGCTCAACCCGTTCTTCTCCAAGCGGGCCATTACCAATGCTACCCCCATGATGCAGGATAAGCTGTACAAGCTCTGCGACCGGCTTCGCCGCGAATACCAAGGCACTGGGAAGGTTCTGCGTCTTGACTGGATGTGGGGTTGTATTGCGTCTGATATCATTGTCCATTACTGCTTCAACGACGGTTATGGCTTCATAAATGCACCGGACTTTCGATCCGTCTTTATTCAAGCTATGTTTGATCTACTCGACATGGTGCACGTTCTGGTCCAGTTTCCTTGGGTGGGAGTTATTATGAATGCACTTCCTCAGAAGTTTGTGGAGACAATGAATCCTGGCTTGAAGTCCATCAACCATTACAATAGAGTAAGTCCATATACATATCACCAAGGCCCAGGTTCACTACTAACTGTCACAGGAAATGGCATCCCAGATCACGGATATCCTCCGAAGCAAAGAATACGGGACGATGAAAGAATCTCAACGCAAAACCGTCTTCAACGCTCTGCTTGAAGGCGGCTTGCCACCTGAAGAGCTGACCCTGCGACGACTCCGCGAGGAAGCCTTTACCGTTATCGGAGCTGGCTTCGAAACCACGCGATATGCTCTGGCCGTCGCCAGCTACCACATTCTCAGCACACCGTCCATATACAAGCGTCTGCGCGAAGAGTTGATAACAGCGATCCCCGATCCGACCAACTTCCCTCCCCTGAGTGAGCTAGAAAAGCTCCCCTACCTGACGGGATGTATCCAAGAATGTGCGCATTTTCTCCCTTCCGACTTGCTGCATACTAGTACCACAACTAACCACAACACCTACAAACAGGCATCCGCATGTCCTATGGCATCGTGCAACGCTCACCCCGCGTCAGCGACAAGTTCCCCCTCATCTACAAGACCTGGACCATCCCGGCAGGCACCATCATCAGCATGGACAACTACTCAGTCTCGCACGACGAAGCGATCTTCCCCGACTCGTTCACCTTTAAACCCGAGCGCTGGCTCGACGACCCCGTCGCGCCAGACGGGCGGAAACTCACACGATATCTCGTCTCGTTCGGTCGTGGGACCCGCTCGTGCCTTGGTATCAACCTCGCCTACGCGGAAATGTACATTTCGCTGGCGAATGTGTATCGGAACTTTGAGTTTGAGCTGTTCGAGACGGGGCGTGAATCGGTGGATGTCTATCGGGACATGTTTCTTCCGCATCCGAAGCCGGGGACTCAGGGGGTGAGAGTGAAGGTGTTGTAGGGAGATGTATAGAAATAGTGATGCAGTGATGGCAGAGGTATAAATATTTTGCAATATACCATCATAAGTGCATGTTTCGCGCAATTTGTTCCTACTACAACTATTCTATTTCTTCGGACTACTATAGTAGTCCATTGTACAAGTCGCATGCAGGACGAAGAGATCCGAATATGTCTAGCGCGCACACATCACTAGACATACAGCATGAGACTATACCAATATAGGGCGAAGAAACATGTCATGCGACCGTGTACTTAGCCTCTATCCCTATTCCATACTCTAATCTATAGATCCCGAAATTCATCAACACTTCAACACCAACCGTACACAATTACAACCCACTAAAGTGAACAGCCACATCTTCGTACATACCCTGCCCATCTTTCCTACATCATAAATCAAAGTACACGTATATCCCCGAGAACAGGCGAACGCAACTTAACCCACCACACCGATTAGATTACATCATGATGGCCCATCCTGCATACTGCGGAACGCCACAGTCAATATATATCCTTGTTTGCTTTTTCGAAGGCGGGATATAGCGCCGAACCTTACGTCCGCCCAGCCTTTGATCAAGTTCGTTCTGGGCTTTCTTTGTCTGATTTCGTGCTGTACAGGTGGGTTATTAATATGTTTACGGGAATACTCGGGTGTATCTTTGCGGGAGATAGAAGTTGTTGGGAGGGATATGTGTGCTGTTATGGGTGAGGGGGGTATGAGTCTGTAGGGATGCATGCCAAGTACTTTGGTTGTGGTGATAGGTGCGCTGGTTTCTTCAAAAAAATAGTATAATGGTGACATACTACATGCATCGCTTCCGGTGGCCCGGCGTCTGAGTGCGGTGACCAACATGATTCCTCGACAGTATAGCTTATGTGGAGTCTGAGAAAAGCACTTTGCACATCATAATGTAACCATGCATAACTTGCAAGGGTGTATGATGTGTTCCATGCAATGTTTATGTTAATTTTTGAGCGTATGATACCGATTATATATCCACATATGTTTGATTAATTGGGCTCATTGAATCCAACCAACCCGTGAATTTTATGGCTACAGTATCTAGGAGGATTGTACTATCTTTGAAAGATGTAACAGTAAACATTATACTCCTCTACTATACATTCTTTCAGAATACCCACTTACCGAATACCATGTCACCAACCCAAAAGCACAAGTATACCTCAATGCCATGGCCCAACACCTCGAATATCAAAACACAGACCTCCCAACCCATACTCCAGACCCCAACACCAGCACCATCCCATCCCACTATCAAGAAAACCCCCCCTAAAGCTCCTCCGGCGGCCTCGTAATCCCCGTCAACTTATCCCTAAGCAAGCCAAACCATTAGCCCAATTCCTCTCCACCCCAACCCCCAAAGCACCAGCAAAAGAAACAATCCGCAGAACATACCCATTAACCTTTTTCATCAACGCCCCAAACCCCTGATGATCATAATCCTTCTCACTCCACATATCCTTATGATAAACGACCCTCTCCCCATCCTCCCCACCCTGTAACCTCAAACTCACCAAACTATCCTCCGTCCGGGACGCTCCAATCCCCCGAAATGTATATCTCTGCCTCTGCTTCCAGACCATCTCATCGTCCGTATTCGACACCACCTCCGTCCCTAGATTCTCGCTCTTGCTGAAGAGCTTCGGGATGCCGTACCATTGGCCGGCGATTTTGTAGCTGTGTACCAGATCCCCCAGTTGTCAGTATAAGGTTTTATGGGGATGGATGATGGGGGGGTGGGCTACTACCGCGTATCACAGTAACTGAATGGATCGTCGTAGACGGCTTGCTCTGCGTAGACGCTCATGTCTTCGGCGGACGCACTGCCGCAGTATAGGGCTATGATATGGTCTTGGATGGATTGGCGGGATGGGGGCAGGGGCATGGAGTTCTCTGGGTGGGGGGTGTAGTCGACTTCGTGGGCCGTGTTGTGGGGGAGGTCGGGGTGCGGTTCGATGCCGCGTTGGTCGGGGTGAGGGGCGGTGGTGGGGGGCATTTTGGGGGGTGATTTTGTGTACTGGGTGATAATGTGGAATTTGGGAATGTGTATAGGTGATTTGGACGAGGGGGTTAGTGTGGTTGTGTGGAATTGCGATGGAGAATATACTGGAGACGATAGTAGGGTTGGATGTGACGTCATCAAGGTGTCAGGGAGTTGTTCAAAGTCAATTCGATATAAAGTTTGGCACGTCCAGTTGCTTTAAACCATTGCTCGCAATTGATCAACTCAGTCTATATAACTAGTAAGGAAGTGCGTAGGCTGGGTTGGTCGTCGCCTGCGCGCTCGTAGCCCGAACAAAATATCAGATAGCCTTCGAACAAAATATCAAATCGCCGCCCGAAAAAACATCAAATAGCCGCCCAAAAAAACATCAGATAGCCTCCGGAAAAACAACAAATAGCCTCCCAAGATGTGAAACCTGGACATGTGCCGGTGCAATAACCTGCATATCATGAAGAACTCTCCTGCGCCGTCATACGGGCCGCAACGCTTCCCGCCGCCCGAGGATACTGGGTAACGACTCCGATGGCACCGTAATCTCCACTCAACTCAGGCGACCCCCAACCCCCTCCTCCAGGGGTGTGGATGACACAGCGATCGCCTGCCGCCATTTTTACCATGTTCTTCGCTCCCATATTCACCCATCGGAATACCTCCTTTTCTCCTATCTTCTCTTTCCGAACCCAATAGTTCGCTCCACACCGTCCGGGATCACCTCCGCTCATTCCATAAGGCGCAACGCTACGGCGCTCCGTGATGACACTGAAACTCAGAGGAGCACGGCACTCGATGTCTCGCACCACACCATCACCGCCCTTGTACATCCCCTTCCCTCCCGTGCCCGGACGGATGGCGAATTCCCTCAAAATAACCGGGTAGCGCTTCTCCAAACTCTCCGGATCGGTGATCCTGGTGTTGGTCATATGTGTATGCACAGCAGATGCCCCCGACCGAGAAGATGTTGCTCCTGAGCCACCGCAAATAGTCTCGCCAAACGCGTAAGCATATCCACTGAGTTTGTTGCCCTCGGCGTCTTTTCCACCCTCACCGAAGAACCCAATACAGTTCATGCAGCCGTGCGAGGCAGCAGCAGCTCGGAATGCTTTGAGGATAACATCCACGATTCGCTGGGATGTCTGGGTGTTCCCAGCACAGACAGCAGGACCTGCAGATGGGTTCAGGAAGGTGCCCTTGGGCAGGATAACGTTGATCGGTGCAAGACAACCTTGGTTCAAGGGAATATCGTCGCCAATCAGGAGACGTAAGGTGTATATAATTGCCGAGTGGGTGATGGCTGGAGGCGCATTTATATTGCTGAGCAGCTCGCAGCCAGTTCCGGTGAAGTCAAACACAGCGGAACCATCACGGAAAAGATCAATAGTGAGCTTGATCAATGAGCCATTGTCCATTCGGTCTTCCGCGACCAGGCGAGATCCCATCCGGGCTAGAGTTTCTCGAAGGTGATGCCGGACGGCCCGTTCAGCGTTTAGCTGGATAGCCTTCATGTACAGCTGCACTACGGGCAGAGTGTACTCCTCGATCAAGCCTTGCACCAACGTCATGCCCTTGTGATTTGCCGCTACCTGCGCCTTCAGGTCGGAAATATTGTCCGACACATGTCGGCTCCCTGTACATCCCGGGTAATCGCCAGGACGAAGAAGAATCTCGATGATACCACGCTCGTCAAAGTTTTCTTTATGAATAAGCTTGAATGATCTGATCGCAGCACCCTCCTGCCATAGCTCAGTGGAATTCGGCGGCATGGATGTACCTCCCAAACCTCCGATATCGGTGTGGTGGCCGCGAGAGGCAACGTAGAACGCGACCTCCTTTCCAGTCTTCTCAAAAACTGGAGTTATCACAGTGATATCTGGCAAGTGTGTACCGCCTGCTTCAGGGTGGTTGGCCACCAGAACGTCACCAGGTATAAGTTTTCCCTTGTGAAGATCGTGCTGGTACTTGACTGCGTAGCTCATGGAGCCAAGATGCACTGGAACATGAGGTGCGTTCGCGACCAGTCCACCTGCGCACAGTTAGTTCCATTCTCTGGAATTCATAGTGTGGGAACATACCGTCCGGCCCGAACAATGCACATGAAAAATCCAAGCGCTCCTTAATGTTCAATGACACGGCTGTCTTTTGTAGAGCACGACCCATCTGTTCGGCGATACTCATGAAGCGATGAGCAAAAACCGAGAGTTGAATGCTATCCACAGATGTTGAATCCCGTATGATCCGGGCAGATGATGCGTCTTTGATCTCGATAACCACGTGGTTGCTCAAGATCCTAGCTTCTGACCCGGGAGAAACCACCAAAGTTTGCGTCTGGTCGATGATAACGGCCGGTCCCGCAATAAGTGTAAGCGGGGGCAATTTATTCAGGAGAAACACAGGCGCAGGGCATGACCCGTATCCTGGGAAATAGACCCTTGTCTGTGGCTGATTAGTGTTCTATAACGATCGAGCAGTGACAGCTAGAAGCCATACCGTTTGTTCAGCAGTATCCAGCGATAGGACACTGAAAGACGCAGTTTGCAATTCTTGACCGAGTCTTTGCCCATCAGCCCTCTCCAAGCCGCCGCAAGACCCAACACCTCGGACACGTACGTCGTCCACGATGATAGTCCTTTCGTCGGGAAACAAGAAGGCGAACTCCCGCAGATGCATCCTCTTGAACTCCTCCTTAAAATCGCCATCTGCTGGCTCCAGGACCATGATGGCCGTCTCCGTTCCTTGATATCTCATATTGAGATACTTCTGGTACGATATGTCGCCATCTGTTGTACCCTGGTCGTTTAGCTGTCGGCGCACCTTATTTTGGAGCAGTGATAGCCGGTTAAAGAGTCTGCCGCGTGATTCATCCCCATAGATTTCATTTACCGGCTCTTGGGCCTCCTGCACCAAGTCCGCGAGCGCCATTCCTGATTCATTCTATTTAGTTCGTTGATCCATATGTGGGGTGCCCCTACATACCATATGCGGAAAGAATACTCGAGTACTTGTGAATAATGACCGTAGATATGCCTAGTTTGCGAGCGACGTCACAAGCATGTTGCCCGCCAGCACCACCGAAAACACTTAGGTTATGGTTTGCTGGGTACACCCTTAGCCTGGCACGGAAAGATAATCAGAATAGACTTACTAATGTCATATCCCTTGCCCTCCGTCAAAGCTCGGATTGGTCGACACATAGCTTCATTGGCAACATCAAGAAACCCGCAAGCTACCTCTTCCGGACTCATTGAGTTTCCTGTATCGGAGTTAATAGTGGCTGTCAAGTCTTCAAACAAGTCCTTCACTCTTCTTGAATCCAGAGGCTGATTTTCGTTTTCGCCAAAGATCCTGGGGAAGTAATCGGGAAGCAACCGTCCGAGGAAGAGGTTTGCATCAGTCACTGTGAGAGGCCCGCCTTTTCGGTAGCATGCCGGTCCAGGATGTGAGGAAGCACTCTCTGGGCCTACCGCAAAAAGGCCATTCTTCCAGGTCAAAATCGAACCACCGCCCGCGGCAACTGTGTTGATGTCCAACTGTGGGCTCTGAATTGTCACTCCGGCAGTAGTACTTTCAAATATATGCTCATGGCATCCTCCGTAACGTGACACATCGGTGGACGTGCCGCCCATATCGAAGCCCACTACCGGAATTTTGGATGCTTCGTCGTATGTGGTTTGTGCATACCCAACCACACCCCCTAGCAAATCAGCATCGACGATAGTCAATCGGATGGAAAGTAGCCCTCACCTGCAGGCCCACTCAGAATGCCTCTGAGACCACTGAAGTGGTTGTGGCTAACGAGGCCTCCATCGGACTGCATGAATTCGCACCTTACACCGTCCAAGTTTCCACCTTCAAAGCCCTTGGTAAATCCTGTGAGGTAGCGCTTTATCTCGGGAGTCAGATATGCATCCGCCGACGCCGAGCTGCCACGCGGTACCATCTTGATCATGTTAGCGGCGACGGCAGAGGACAAGGATACGTGTTTAAATCCCTCTTCCATGGCCAGCTGATAAACGCGTATCTCATGTTCCGGAAATATGTGGGAGTGAGTCAAGCACACAGCCAGTGTGTCCACCCCCTTACCACGGAGCTTTTGGAGTACTTTCCGGACTTGTTCCTCGTCGATTGGCTTCAGGATGCGAACCATGTCACCACTTGTGCCACGAACCAGGACACCGGGAATTTCTTCGGTGGATTTGAAAAGTCCATCTACATCTTCGTCGAATCCCTCAATGGTCACTCTCGCATCTATCTCATGGACCTCGTCATACAAGACAGCTGGTTTGACGATGTTGAGCTCAAAGAGCCGAGGACGCGACTGGTAGCCAATGTTCAACAAGTCACGAAATCCCTTTGTTACTAGGAATGCGTGCCGGGTGCCTTTTCGCTCAAGTAACGCGTTGGTCGCCACTGTTGTCCCCATACGGATAAACTCGAGGTCTGTCTTGGGGAGAGGGCTGCCGCGAGGAATCTCGTGGCCATAGTAGTGGGAGAGCACACGTCTTATGCCTGGAGCCATGAGCTTCCATGCCACAACATCATCTAGGGAAGAGGGAATTACCTTCAGTGGGTGCATCTTCGTAATTGGCTGGATCAACGGAAAGTAGTTTGTGCACTATGTCTGGCTGGCCGGGCAGATTGGCCCAGACGTCCGTGAAGGTACCACCACGGTCTAGGAGCGACGAAGCTCATCATCAGCAACTTGCATGTATCAGGGAATTCAGGGAGAATAACCGATTGCGATCTTGATCTTGCCCATAGCTGGCTGCATTATGAAACGAGGTGTTGATGTGATTCACCAACCATCCACCCCCTCTCCCCGGCGCCGTAAGCCATGGCCTTTTATAACCCCAATGAACGACGAGCGCTTGACCATTGTGATAACGACAGGGCGTGCAGTTTCTGTAAAGTGGTATATGGATACGACGGTGTTGCGGGAACCTCACCCCAACAATCCATTCTCGTGGTCATTGCGCGACCGGCGCGTTGTGGGGAGGATTGGGAAGGCAAGTCGATACGCGATCTCGGAGGGAGAGATTCCCGATGGCAGCTCCCGTGCATCCCAGCTGTCGGCCCCCAATTAGGATTAGGGAGAGGGGTAGGGCCCCAGACAGCGGCGCTAAGGCACACTTCGCTCTTCGTCTCCTTCCATCATTCGTCGAGGGCGCCACCTCCCTCCTCCACCCGTCGTATCGACCACCTTTTTCTTTCATCCTAGTATGCCATAGACCACCGGTCGTCGTGCGTCTCCTCACCGGATGTATCCTTCCCCGTCGTTTGATCTGCGCTACTTGGGAGCTTATCTCTAGTTTTGCAAGGTATGGCTGCAGCAGGTTCTGCAGTCGGTCCGTTCGGCAGCAATCTCCAATCTATCATTCGCTCGCCTCCACCTACCGCGTCGCGTCCAGCTATACTTCGACACACTAAGTACATTGCGCACTTCATGATGTTCTTCGATCGCCCCCCGAGCTGTCATGCTACCAGTACTAGCACTGTTAGTTGTAGTACTAGTATGCCGCTACAGCTACTAGTATATATTAACACACCCCCCTGTCAAATTCTGCACATCTTGCGGCAGGATATTGCGCTGTCCATCACACTAGCCCTCATTTTGCTCGTGCGACGCTATCACCATGACACAACCGGAGGAGGCAGCGGCGCGGAGGCCGTCGACTCCAGATGAACTTGCGAAGATGGGTACTATCAGCAAGGAGATGGATGGAGCTGCCAACTACCTTGCTCAAACCTCAAGCTATCCACCCATGACACCAGAGGTTGAGAAAAAGCTGCTGCGCAAGATTGACTGGATTCTGGTTCCTATGGTAGGTTGTGTAAATGAGGATCAGCTTGCCACCGTGCTAACCTCCCGCCCAGCTACTGTTGACGGCCACCCTGGGTGCAGTTGATAAGGTGGCTCTCAGTACGGCTGCAATCTACGGATTGGAAGAAGGTAATGGTGGCCACCTCTGTTATAAACGGATCTGACGACATGCCAGATCTTCACCTAGTTGGTCAAGACTATTCCTGGGCTGGATCTATCTTATCTATTGGAGTATGGGCTCCTTATTTCCCCTCATTTGCCAGAAATTAACCGTGAATACCTAGTCCATCGTCGGCATGTGGCCCTCTTCCTTTTTGGTGCAGCGACTGCCCTCGGCTAAATATCTCTCCTCGTGCTCTCTCGGTTGGTCGTGCATGGCGCTTCTGATCCCTGCATGCAAGAATTGGAGCGGGTTGATGGCCATACGGTTCTTTATGGGTATACCTCCGTCTCAGTACTAGTTGCAGACTGGCGATCACTTGGCTCGGTCGCCGCCAGAACTTTGATTCTGATGTGTTCTGAACAGGTTGCCTAGAAGCTATCATCGTCCCATCAATCAGCTTAATTGTTGCGGGCTTTTACAAGAAATCAGAGCAGCCCCCACGGAATGCGATCGTATTCGCTGCTTTCAGTTCTGTGATAAACGGTTTCCTGTCTTGGCTGGTAGGACATGTTCCCGACTCTGCACCTCTGGCCATCTGGCAGTATCTCTACCTGATCGTTGGTAAGTCGCTCATGTTACTGGGTGTTAGCATATGCTAAGGTCGCCAGGATCCATATCCGCATTGTGGTCTATCATTGCAATTATCTTCCTGCCGGACTCCCCAATGAATGCTTTCTTCCTGACAGACCAGGAGAAGTATTATGCCGTTCAACGTCTCGCTGAAAACCGGACTGGAATCATTAACAAGGAATGGAAATGGAACCAGGCCCTCGAAGCAGGCATGGATCCCAAGACTTGGATTCTCTTTTTCTTCAACATTGCCATAAACATTCCAAACGGAGGTAAGGTTTGCCCTCCACCAGCCTCTGATCATCACTGACGGTTTAGGTCTCACCACGTTCAGCGGTATTATCATCGACAATCTGGGATTTTCCGCAGTCGACACCTCCCTCCTCAACATGCCTACTGGAATCATGTCAACTCTAGCTGCGTTCGGGTTCTCTTGGCTGGCCGCACGCTGGACGGGTCGTCGATGCCTTGTCACCATGATCGCATGCTGTTTGCCCATCATTGGCTCGGCATTGGTGTATTCCCTTCCTCGAACCAACATCGGCGGCCAGATGGTCGGAATCTATCTAGTAAGACCGACGGAAGCTTGACTTATCACCGTATGCTTACGACCTTTCTATAGTTGTACACATACTTTGGCCCCTATGTCGTGGGTAGGTAATCCCAAGCCTTTTGGTATTGGCATAGCTAATAATACAGGTATTTCGATGGCGCAAGCCAATACTGCAGGACACACAAAAAAGACGGTACAATATTCAATATTGTATATTGGATATGCCGTAGGTGAGTCACATTCCTAGAGTTCCAAAATAACCTGTCGCCCTTGCTATGCTTTGGTCCCACTAATTCAGTTCTAAGGAAACCTTATCGGCCCTCAGACCTTCCGTGCTAACCAGGCGCCTGCCTATACGGGCGGTTTCACTGCGATGTTGGTCTGTTACTGTATCTGCGTTGTATTGATGGCAGTGTATTGGATTCTGGTTGTGAAACTTAACGGTCGACTTCTTGGCGTCGATCCCGAGACTGGAGCGGCGGACGATGACAATCTGGCCGAGGCCTTTGCCGATCACACTGACTTTGAGCAAAAGAACTTTAGATATACCACATGAAGATCTGTCTTTCATTGCGTGTCAGCACGGTCGGGAGTTTCTCATTTATCATGATCTAAATGGCATAGGATATTTTATTTTTGGGGTGTTAATTTGGGACTACTGTTTTGTTGATACCGAATGCACATACCATGGGACATTTCCCACATGAATTTGTTGGCTGTCCTCCATTTAACCTAGATCCCGGTCACGCTATCACCCGCCTATAGATAGCTGATGGCAGGGATGTTGTGTGGGCGCGTCAATCCTGTAGGGAATCGGACTAAATTGGTGTGATAATATAAGCGCCAGTCATTTCCCCGCTTCTCCAGCACCAAATCCCCTTTTCGCCGATTTCCCTCCTGAGACACTGGGGGCAAACCCGCCAAGGCCACACGACTCATGGCTTAAATCCCGTCTCACTCTCAATCCCCACACCCAATATCATCCAGGATGCCTACTAAGCGTGCTCAGGGTGAAATTCGCCGTAGGTCTGGGTGTTTACAATGTAAAGGTACGGCTGGAATCAACACATACTGAATAGGGCTGCCCTGACATATTTGATGAAGCCAAGCATGTTCGCTGTACCGAAGAGCTGCCGATATGTCGCCGATGTGAACGACTGGGTCTGCACTGCGAACGTGGATTACAGCTCTTATTTCAGGAGGATGCGGTTCAGCGAGGAATTAGTTTTGGTCGGAAAGGTGCGTTTAGCTTGTCCGAGGCGCTAGCGGTCTCTTCCTCATGACTAACAAGCTACATTCCCGGTATAGGCACCCGGTCGAAACAACCGGACAGTGCTAGAGATCGTGCGGTACTCAAGTACAACGACGTGTTCTATGGCGTTCCCTTGAACGCGTACACGGGACGGTGGATATTTCTCAACTCCACCAGCAGCGACTTCATGGAGAGCAGTAGCGATGGTGATGAGATGGACACAGATGGCATTGAACCAGACCTGTTATCTGTGTTTGTACAGTTTCCAGATACTATACCACTGGATAAAGGCCTGGGCCACCCACTCGCTACATATTCGCACCTCGAGAGCTATCTCATCGACTATTTCATCCACGGTATTGGGCCAAATTGCTCGCTCAGCCCGATCGAGAATCCCTATATCACACTTATCACACCCCTGGCGCTCTCTCATAAGACTCTCCGCGATGCTCTGATATCGGCGGCGGGAAACCAGCTTCGCCTGCTTGGGGACACTCGCTTCTCCAAAGAAGCGCTGATCTACAAAGAAAGAGCGTTAAAGGGGCTGCAGCAGGAAATCGAGCTGGGAAGTATAAGTGATGGTGCAATAGCCACGGTTCTGATGTTATGCTTTCACGATGTGCGTTGCATGCCGAGTCTTCTTTACCTTCGAGATACTGACACTACTGCAGATTTCCGATGAATGCGCCCCATCCTGGGTAACGCATCTCCAGGGAGGCCTTGATCTCCTTTATCGGTTTCCTTGTACACCCACCGCGAACTACTCATTGCGTCGATTTTTTAACATGTATTTCGTGGCTCATGCGATCATGAGTCGTACAGCAACGCCGCAAGTCTGTCACGGAAATGGTATGTTTAGTTGGGCGGATAACGACAACCTTGACGAGGTTAGTGGCGCTTTGTCCTCTTGCCTTCATCTACTGACTAGATCGGTAGATTGACACGATTATGGGCTGTTCACGGCGACTAATGCTATTAATCAATGAGATATCTGAACTGCCTGTTGACACTTGCACGGTAAGGCATCTACGTTTTATCTCTACATAATCAGATCTAACCTGTCATTGTGTAAATGAAACAGACACCCTCATCGACTACCTCATCAGACGATGAATCCGTGGACATCCACCTTTCAGAAGCAGCCCGCATCGCCACTGCCCTGACGAATATCCAGCAGTTCCTCCCACAGCACTCGAGCGATCGAGATGATCTTGCTCGAATAGCCGAGACCAAGCGGCTAGCCGCTATAATTTACCTGTTCAACCGAATAGATGGCACTACGTATTACACAGACGTCATGACCGAAACGAAAGCAGACAAGAACACGTTCATAAACGCCTTGATCAACGTCATGACCCACCTCCCTGACAGGGCAACGCTTCTATGGCCATTATACATCCTGGGACACGCATCGCTGGAAGATGAAGACCATCGCCGTTTCGTTCTGGATCGACTAGAGCGGATGCAACGCACTCGGAATCTGGGCAGTGTCCGACGGGCTAGAATGGCCGTCAAGCATGCTTTCAGGGTTGTTGATATGCGTACAACTGCGAAGATGAGGGCTAGCAAGTTTGGATACATCAGTTTAGCTTGAGCGATTATAGCGTCGAGATTGATACACCGAGGGTTTAGGGGCGTTCAAGGTATCTGGTTTTATGCTTTCATCCATGCTTACATTCCAATTTCTTACCGTAGCCTCATTCCATCACCACACTTCCCTCACCTACAGAATCCTACCTAAGCAACATAGACAACTTTCAACACCCAGCAGAACTCCTCCCCATCCCACGCCCCCTCGGGCACCGTAAACATGAACCCCTCCGCCGCACTCCCCTCCCACTCAACCTCCCACTCCCCATCCCCATCACCACGCACCACCACAACCCTATCCCCCTCCAATAATGGCACCGGCGCATCCACAAAAACCTCCTTCCCAGGCTCCCCAAGAAACAACAAATAAAACGCCTCATTAGTCTGCGTAAACCTCAACTCCACCTGCCCCCCATCACCACTCCCAACTCTCACACCCACCCCCTCACTCCTCACCCACCAAACCCTCGTCCCAAACACCGCCTCCCCATGCCCCCTTATCCACTCCCCAGCCCTCCTCAACTCCCTCTCCTCCCTCTCAACAATACTCCCATCCGCACGCGGCCCAACATCCAACAAAAAATTCCCATTCTTACTCACTATATCCACCAAATCCCTCACCACCGTACTCGCATTCATATACCCCTGCCACCCGGTCGCCCGATTAAACCCATAACTATACGGATCCATCCCCATATTACTCTCCCACTTGCGCAACTGCGCCGAACTAAACGTCGCATATTCGGGGGTATCAAAGTCCGAGACCTCCGCAACCCCGCACCGCGAATTAATCGTCACTTGCCGGTCCTCTGCACGCGCGGAATTGAACCATTCGCTGGCGAACGACGCCGTCCCGTTCGCGGCTCCGCAGTCACACCACATTATGTCGGTGCTGTAGTTGTGTGCGAGGATGGTCATTTGGGGCACCATTACGTCGGTGATGAAGTCGCTGACGGGGATGCGGCCCGTGTAGGGCTCGTTGAGCCCCGTGTAGGGGTTTCGCGCGATGATGCCCGGCCAGCTTGTTGAGGTGTTGCCGGGTAGTTCGGCGAATCCGTAGGGCCCGAAGTCTGGGTTGAACCATTCCGGGAGGGAGAAGTAGGTGCCGCGTTTAAGGGATGGGTGGTGGATGGACGATGCGGTGAAGAGTTCCGAGACCAGGTCTCGGCGGGGGCCGTAGTGGAGGGAGGAGCGGTTCGTGGTGTTTTGGGTGTCGAAGAGGGCGAAGCCGTCGTGGTGTTTGGTTGTTAGTACGAAGTATTTGGCGCCGGAGGCCGCGATTAGGTCCACCCAGGCTTTGGGGGAGAAGTTGGAGGCTGTGAAGGAGGGGAACGAGTCGTCGTAGTTCCAGTCAGGGCCGAAGGTGCGGAGCCGGTAGTCGTAGGTGTCGGATTTGTCGGCGGCGCGGTGCGTGGTGTACCACCTGATAGTTGGCTAAGTCAGATGCGTTCTGGGGAGGAGGTTGAGACAGGGTGGGGAGGATAGTACCAGAACCACTCGGCGTAGCTTTCATAGGGTGTCGAGTTGCCCCAGCCGGGGACGGAGTAGGGGCCCCAATGGATCATGATGCCGAATTTAGCGTCGTCGAACCATTCGGGGCTTTCGTGTTGCGAGAGGCTGGATAGCTCGGAGGTCCATTCTGTTAGGCCGAGGGAGAGGGTGTGGGGGTAGGTTTGATTCTGGATGGAGTGGGTGTAGTTCAGTACGACGGTTGCTGTTCCGTTGGCTGCACCGTTGATGCCGATGTTGACGCGTTTTTGGTCGCCGGGGCAGAGTCGCTTGATGTTTCCGGGCTCCAGTGTTTGGATTCCAGGCATGGATAATGATACGTTTACTCCTGGCCCTGCGATACAGCTGGTGCCTGGGTTGTTGATGGTCACTTCAACTATCTGGTTGCCGCTTTCTGTCCACTTTTGGGTCGGGCGCACGAATTGCACTTGCGCTGATGCGGCTGTGGATTCCCATAGGGATATGGAGAAGATGTGCAGTCTGCCTGTGGTCGTGTTGGTAGTGACTGGGAGGGTGATTGAATGTAGAGTCTTGTTGGGGTTCAGCGCTGCAGTGTATTCGAAGATGTGGGAGGTGTTGAAGTTGGTGTCGTTGTGAGTATACCGGTAGGGGAAGATGATTTCGCCACGGTTAATTGTCAGGAATGCCCACCAAGGTAGACTGCGCAGTTCTGATACAAGTGTCGAGTTGTCTGAATAGGTGTATGTCACATTCCCGGAGACGGTGGACAATTGGACGTCGGACGTCACCAGCATGGACGCGGAGAAATACTGTTCGCGAGGCACGATAATTGTCTGGCCTTCACAGACGACATTGTCAGGGAGGACGGGCCCGCGATAGCCCGGGAAATCGTAGACCACACCTGTGTGCGTGGATGTGTAGGTTCCATTGATGCCAATAATGCTAGGATTTGGATAGGACTGATTCAATGCATCAAACGACGTCTGACCGGGATATATGCCGAATGCCTTGTTGTTGAAGTATGAATCGAGAGAGACGAATTTTGACTGTACCGTCAGTCTGAGTTCAATGGAAATGAGAAGCACTAACCTGCGTTACTGCCTCTGCAGTGACAGCTAACTGACATGCGAGGGCTATCTGGTTGATGAGCTTCATGATGCAAACACTCCCTTGCACGGCGTAAAGTCTACACTCTGCCGATGAAGCGGGGAAGCGGTGCAGAAGTAGTCATGCCAACTTCATATCTCCCCACTGGGAAATGGCACAGTGACATCCTGCCTGCACGTTGGAGTAAATTCAGCAAGTGGCCGACTATCATTGGAACACGCCGATCATGTAGATTAAACGGCCGGCGTGCGGGGAGATATCAATTGCGGCAAAGATACGCGGAGATAAGTGCTAATCAGGCTCATAATATCCTAGTCGGCCCAGCCGGGCACTAAACCATGGCAGCGCCACTGTTACATCGGCTGATGTCCGAGTGGAGGTCTGCAGTATGCCAATTGATAAGAAGCAACGACTCCCAGGATGTTCCTGCATGATGCACCGACACAATGTGGACAACCTTGTTTTCTGTGGCAGCTGGGCTGGCCAGTCTGCCATTGACTCATGCCTTTAACAACCCCCCAGGCGTGGACATCTGGTGTGGCAAGGCCTATCGAGCGAGGTATGTCATAGCTAACATTCAATATAACACGACTAACTGTGATAGCAATACTTCATTCAACCCTGGTGGGTGGTTCGAGCACCCCTCGTACTCCTCCACTCCCCTGCTCGACCTTAAAGTCCGGCCACGAATGAGCATCTACCTCGAGACAGATGCATCAGGCAGTCTTCTCGTCGACACGACCGTCTCTCACCTTGTTGGTGATCCTCTACCTGCGAAGCCCAACACAAACTACACAGACCAGCACCTCCATCTAGACATCCACATCCTCAGCAACGAGACCCCAATTGCCTCTATCACCAACTATACCCTCCCACTTAACACCTCCAAAGCCGAAATTCCCCTCTCCTTTGACGGCCTCGCCCCAAAACTAACCCCTTACACCATCACCACCACCGCCACCCTCATCAGTAGCATTACCAACACCACCTTCACCACCACCTCCGAACTCTTCTACCTCCTCCAACGCACCGACGGCGGCAGCGCCACCCGCATCGACCATCGCACGGGCATGCTCTCCTACATCCAGGACCAATCCGTAACCTGGACCCCAATCTTCCCCTACACCTACTACGGTACCTCCCCCATCCCCTACACCTCTCCACACACCCAATCTAACCCCAAACAAGCCCAATGGTCGCTCTACTGGGACACCAACACCAGCACCCTAGAATCCTTCACCTCCCAAGGCTACAACGTAATCCACATCGTCCCCACAGGTACCCTCAGCGACACGCCCTTCCCCTGGTCCACCTTCGATCCCTACCTCACCACCTCCGACAAGCAAAACCTCCACCTCCAATACGACGTCCTCTTCGACCCTACCAACCTGACCAAACTCACCGACCAAGTCACACACATCCATACCCACCCCTCCCTCCTCCTATACTACACAGCCGACGAACCAGACGGAAAAGGCAACCCCTTGAACTCGACTCGTCTGGCGTACGACCTCATCCGCTCCATGGACCCGTACCATCCTGTTTCTCTAGCTCTGAACTGTAAGGACTTCTATTATGAGGAGTATGCCTCCGGGGCGGATATTATCCTGTCGGATGTATACCCCGTCGCGACGAATACTTCCTGGTCGACTGTGTATGACACGCCGTGCAATGCTACGTATGGGTGTTGTGGGTGTGATGATTGCAGGGGTGAGTTCGAGGATATAAGTGATAGGTTGGATCAGTTCTATGAGTTTGATGCGGTGGTGGGTTGGGAGAAGGTGCATTGGGGCGCGCCGCAGGCGTTTGGGGAGGAGACGTTTTGGACGAGGTATCCTACTGCGGCGGAGGAGGTGGTTATGGTTATGTTGAGTGTCAATCATGGAGCGATGGGCATTGTTATGTGGGATTATCCGAGTAGTGATGGGATTGAGAGGGTTACGCGGGAATTGGCGCCTGTGGTTACTGGGGAGGTGTTTGTGGGGTTTTTGGAGGAGGGGGTTAAAAGGGTGGGGGTGGTCAAGGGGACAGGGAGGGTGGATGTTGCGTGGTGGGTGGTGGAAGAGGAGGGGAGGGCGTTGATGAGTGTGGTGAATTTGAATTATTGGGGCACTGGGGAGGTCAGGGTGGGTTTGGAGGGTGTGAAGGTGGCTGGGGTGGAGAAGGTGCTTTGGGGTGGGGAGGGATGGGATGTCAAGGATGGGGAGTTGGTTAGCGAGGGGTTCGGAGGGTTGGAGGTGGGTATTTTGGTGGTGGATTTGGGGTAGATACTATTAAAGATTGATATTGTAAATATGATTATCATATATCACATTACTACATTACTTTCTCCGTGATATCTATATAAGTCGGTAACATGGGGCTACAATGCAAGAAGCAATCCCACGCCCGCAAGTCCTGAAAGCAGCTTCATCGGATTGCTTGTAGCCTGCGCTGCAGCACCCTCCGAGGAAGTGCTCGTAGCTTCGGCCGATGAGCCGCCGCTCGAAGCAGTACCCGTCGCCCCGGTTGCTGTGGCCGTAGCAGTGATGGTGACACCCGACAGTGTGGGCACTGCAGTGCCAGTCGAGACCAATCCATTTCCAGTAGCGGAAGAGACGGCAGAGGGAACCGGTGTCGCTCCCGGCACAGCCGACGTTCCCGTTCCGATCTCAAGGATATCATCATCACCCGGGTTGAAGTTCGTGTTGGCGAGGGAGATCTCGTTGTTCTCGAGATCGTATACAACGTATGCGCTACGCAGGAATGTATCACCGAGCAGGTTCACACCGGGCTGGCTCGGCACGAGGCCCAACACACAGGTGTTGTCGGGCCACCCCGGCTCTGTTGCGGGGATAATCAGCTCGCTCATACTGACGGTGACCGTTGCACCGGAGAAACTATAGGTCACGTTGTAGTCGGACTCTCGGGCGTCGCAATCGATGTAGGCCATATCGTATGTCTTGTCGTAGGTTGCGTTGAGCGCATCATAGACCTTGTTGACGAGATCGCTGGGCAGCGCCGTCAAGGTGGTGCCAGTATCGAGGGACACGGAGAGGGGAAGACTGTCGGTAAAGCTACTGGATTTGGAGTCGGTCGCAACGCTGAGCTCCGTAAGGGCGATGGCGAGGGAGTAGTATTTGCCATAGACAGGAATAATCGGAAGGGTCTGGAGATCGCCCTTGTATTTCGCTGTATTGACACCTCCAAAAAGGAGCGAACCGGTCGACGCCTCCAAACTATCGAGCCAGATGCTGTACGCAGCAGACTTGATGGCACCGCTGTCGACGAGGGCCTGAGGGAGGTTGGCATAGACCTTGTCGTCGTGCTCGGCCTGGTAGGTCGAAATTTTGTAACCGACACCGGCGATCCCGCCTATAGTACACCGAGTCAGCGACGATCATCATGGAGAAAACGGCTCACCCACGTTTACTAGTCGTAGATTCGGCGATCCCAAACTGCATGTCATCGATTGTCGTGTTGCCGATCGTTAGCTTATCAGTCACATAAGGTCCGTAGAGATTTGTGCCGTCCGCATATGTATCGTTGAGGTGTGTGCCGACGGTTTTCACGGTGGACGATTCGCTGGCATTGTACAAGCCATAAGGGGTGCATAGATTGTCGATGGAGCAGTAGGTCGAGTTGCCGGTGTTCACCCAGAGGTCGCTACTGCCAGTGTCCAGAGCCAATGACACCTTTTGCGCAGGTGTTCCTAACGTCAGGTTCACTGCGTAGTAAGTCGCATCCTAGCGATTGTCAGCATGATTTCTCCTTCACGGCCTTATGGCTAACATACCCAGTTCTGCAAAGTCACGGCGACCGTAGAATCTCTTTTCTGCAAGGACTGGTCGCTCCTGCGCTCAATGGGCATTCGAACGACGGCAGGCTCATCGCGTTTATGGAGAGACAGGCCATGGGCAAACGGAATGCCCGCCGCAAGAGGAATTAGTACCGCACCTCTCATCTTGACTGGCCGAGCGTCTGCTTTCCTGTTCACAGACACGTTATAACGTAACTTGCAAAGAAGCACAAGTCCAAGCCGGATTTGCCGCAGTCCAGGGAGATTAAACGGCCCCCAAGAGGCAAGGCCGCAATTCTTTTCTGCCTGTTCTCATGTCAGCTTCAACGGCGAGGCTAAGGCAATAGTGTGAGCATGGTGCTCACACTTTGCACTGGTATAGCCAGTCATCATCAACGAAGTGACTCAGCCCCAAATTTGGTCAAAGCAAAGGCAGCGTGGAGCCTTTCACAACGAACGCTGGATCCAAAGGGTCTGACTTCTACACAATACAAGCGAGCTATCGTGAGCTTGGACGGCTAGTTCCGCCTAGCTCCGACCAATTCTCCGAATTCGGTCGAGCAGCCGGATGTTCGGCGGTTGATGGCCGTCGGGCCTCCATTCTGATTTGAGCAATCTAATCCGTCTCCATCGCAATTTAAGACATAACGGCGATGCACCTTCATTGGGCTGTTGCGGACGGGTTTTGCGGCCATTCGCTTAGCGGTGGGCCAACTCCGTAGCCGCTTTCCTATCACGAAAATCGCTCATGCTGCCTGCAGGAAGCGGGGATCAGGCTTTCCATCTGTCGGAAAATTCTTGATCCAGCTGCGCTAGACAATTCAGGTCGCTAGAGCGCCTGTGTGAGCAGACTAGCTTCGTGCAATCCTGAATATGTCTCATTGCCATGTGCAGGGTGTACGAGCAACTCAGGGGCAGTAAATCGGCGTGGGAATTTTGGCAGGCAATTTGCGCCTTGTGGTGGCGCGCGACATCCACCACTACATTAGAAACCATCTCTAGGGCCGCCTGTGAGTGTTGCAGCCCTTGCAAGTCGACGGTGTTGGGAGGGTAGCTTAGGACTTCCTGATGTAATAAGCAGAGAGCTCTAGCCGATTCAGTTAGCTGCAGCCGAGTGGCGTGGTTCCTTAGACTAGTACTCATGGGCTTCAGGTCACAAGGCATGGGTATTACGGCTGGCATACCTCACTGCAGATGCTATAGGATTGCAATCATGGCCGATTTCTGCGGTACCTGTATTCATTCGTTCTGAAAGAAAGCCTTGCAGCTGCTCGTCGAGTTGATGAATCTCTACCAACCGACCACTATCGGTTTGGGGGTGCCTTCGTACAGCCAACACCCGGTCGAGAAGGAGCACAGCTCGTGCCTGATGGCCAAAAACGGAGCGTTTCCTCTCCTGGTTCGAAGGCAGACACTCATGTGGGCAGCTTCCGCTTGCACGAAAATTGGTCTGGACAGGCTGGAGGTCACTTGGTAGAGGGAGCTCAAAAGACGTACAATCTGTCGTAGGTCGTTGCGTCTTGTCTTTGATTTCGCATAATATAAGCCTAGGCCGGGTGAGCCTGTGTTTCCTAGACCTACTTGTAGTCGACCTACCTCTCGAGAATGATTACACCCCACCACAAATTCAGACGCTCCAGTCTTTCAGATGAGTCAATACTAGCTTCATTGGTCTGCCAGGAGCTGGAATCTACTAGCCCAATCGCAAAGGCACTTCTGGCTAAACTCCCCATCGTAATGTGCGCTGCCTCAGGCCGTCCGTTGGCATACTCGTACGCAGCGATAAGCAGTCCAGCCTGGATAAGATATGTCGAGACACACATTATGGCTTGGGCTTCCGCGAATAGCATCTTCATAGTGGCATATACGCTATGTGGTGTTATGTGTGTATTGAGTTTCGACGGCTGCAGCGTCACCAGGCACATACCCAGCACAAGAACAGAAAAGTCCACCGGTGCTGAGCGAGACGGGCTATTGTACCGAGCCAAGCTTTCTTGAAACACTTCGTGTGATACTACGGGAAGCCAGTTGTGAAAGTTGCTGAAATACCGGCGACTGATCTCCTGCAGTGAGAGGTCTGCCAATTGAATGATGCGGCATACATGGTACCATGTCCTTCTGGGTGCCGTTGACATGTTTTCCGACGGTGGGCCAAACAGGGAAACCATCTGTAACAATATCGCATTTGTTTCTATCTGAGTAATCGCATCCGCAACGGGTTCTTCAGCGACGGGAGATCCTTGGTATCGACATGGCAGGTTCCGTTTGGCGCAGTAACCGCAGGTTGGAAGTTTCTTGTCGCATCCCTTCTTCCTTGATTTACAGGTCAAGCACACATGCGACGCCCGCTCTATCACCGGTACCTTCATCCTTCCTGTTATCCTCACTTGAGGTTTTTCTGTCGGCCAGTCGCAACAAGGGAGCGTGTATCTATTGGTGCCGGTCGGCCTATCATTCAACTGTTAGTATCGGACATAAGGTGTTGAAGGGGACACAAGAGACCAAATGTTAGCAAGGGATCCAATCAATTGACTCACTGGGACTGTCGGCCGCCGCTAGGCCATTGTGGCCGATCGTGGTGTGGAAGATGACGGTGTCTTATAGATGGATCGTCAACTTGCCCTGCCAGGAACACGTCACGTGATGAACCAGCTGCCTGATGGGACCAGCGGCCGCCACTAATCCCGTTCTGGCCATCTGATTATCCCCAAAACAGCGCTGTCATTGGCTGATCTGCCAGCTGAGCATGCTCACCTTTGTTGCGGCATTGGGCTCATCTATCTTGTCCCCGGGACAATCAGATGTAGCGGAGTATACCAACATTAGCTCCGAGGTTGCGGTGCTCGCGACTTCGATGTATATCCTTGGTTTGCCTATACGCCACTCAAATTCAGTTTCAATCGCTCACTCTTGCAGGCTGGGCGGTCGGTCCGACGTTATGGGGCCCAATAAGCGAGGTTTATGGCCGCAAATGGGGGATGCTTCCAGCTCTTCTTTGCTTAGGCTTGTTCAGTATCGGAACGGCAGTAAGCCAGAACGCCGCCAGCATCTTCATCACCAGGTTCATTGGTGGGATCTTTGGCTCTGCACCAATTAGCAATGCCAATGCAGCGTTAAGCGACATCTACGCACCGAAAGAGCGAGGAATAGCAGTGGCATTCATGATGCTGTGCATCACAGGAGGGCCATCTGTTGGACCTCTCATTGGCTCTGCAGTGGTTTCAAATTCGAAGCTTGGGTGGCGTTGTAAGAATTGGCACAAGTAACCTCAATTGTACAAGCTGATGAATTCAGGGACCATGTATATCGAAGCCATTTGCTGCTTTGCCTTATTTATCCTTGCTACCTTGACCCTGTCAGAAACTTATTCTCCTGTCTTGTTGAAAGACAAGGCCCAGAAATTGCGCAAGATGACGGGAGATAACAGATACTGGCATCCTCACGAGCATGAGAGCATCAACCTCGAAAACGCAGTTACGAAACATTTCCTTCGTCCGTTATGGTGTGTCCTCGCGCGTCGCTCTTGTCGTGAACTATTTCTGACTTTCCCCAGCATGTTGACAACCGAGAGCATCATGGCCTGCGTCGCAGCATACGCGTCTTTCTCGTATAGTTTGATCTATCTATGTCTCCAGGTATACCCCATTGTTTTTGAAGAGGAACGTGGATACAGTCCAGTAATTGCTTCCTTGCCATTCCTCGGGATCCTTGTCGGCACAGCTTGTGCTGTCGGAATCACCTTTGCATATCGAACACGGTATGCCAAAGCGGTCATGGAAAACGGTGGAAAGGCCGTTCCTGAAGCACGACTTCCTCCGCTGGTACTCGGGGTGATCTTTCTGCCAACGGGACTATTCTGGCTTGGATGGACCGCAACACCAAAGTTTTCGTGGGTACTGCCCACAGTCGGAGGAGGTATGCAATAAGATTCTCCCACTATGTCTGACAGTCTGCTGACATCTATCCAGTATTCGTTGGCGCCGGCCACAACATCATCTTCCAGCAATGTATTAACTATTTGATCGACACGTACGGGCCGTATTCAGCGAGTGCAATTTCAGCAAACACCATGCTGAGATCTTTGTTGGCCGCGGGGCTGCCATTGGCGGCGAAACCAATGTTCCACAATCTGGGCGTGGGACCTGCTGCTAGTTTAATGGGAGGCATCGCTTGCCTCGCAATGCCGATACCCTTCCTTTTCATGAAATACGGACGCGCCCTGCGCGAAAGGTCAAAATTCGCACCCGCCAGTTCGGACTAGTTCGTTCATACTCTGTCACTGGCGAGGATAACAATATCCCCACATCCCCGCGTCGGTGATGATGTGACGTCCGACGAGCGACTGAATAAACGCAACGCTATCAATATACCACAGCTAGAGACTCATCACTTAGTGTCATGGTATTAGATTATACTTACTCACAGATAATATAAGTTTACAATATCAGTCATGTATAATTTGTCAGTCGAGTGGCAACAAAACACTGCTCAAGCCGATCGCTCTATATTATACATTGCAGTTATGATGTCTATCCCGAACTCTTTCGGTCATAATCCACGAAAGCAGCATATCCTTGCGAGACCCCGCATAGCTCGGCTTTAAGACGGGTCGTAGGTTTGGCCACAAACAGACTTTCTATAATGGAGAGGGACAAACAGTACAATGCTGAGATTTACAAGCTATCAAGCACAACTTCTGCTAATATTGTACACATAAATGGGCGTCACTGATGCCGCCCACACAACGAAACGAGGACAGGCAAAAAGGTTTTTACTATAGTAAGGACCCAATTTGCAGAATGACAGCAGTGCCAGAACGGCCCAATTGCCGAGGACATGATCTGCAATATTGGCCGTCCGTGCTCATCGTACCCCGGCTACTGCATCTCATTTCGGCACAATGCCTGCACCATAAACAAACATATTCGGCCTACTACTCACTGCATTTTGTGTAGAAGGGACTAGATGTGGGCATTATGCGGGGTATGAGGATTGAAGAAAGCAGATATTCGTGGAGATGCAGATACAACTAATACGCCCGTCGTAGACATATAAACCTGCACAGCTCTCATTCCAAAACCCTCATTCTCAAACATATTACCAGTACTAAGCATAGTATCGGCCTCAGTGGCCCAGCCACCTCATGCTTCTCATTCTCTTCCTCCTTGTTGTAGTAGCGGCATCTTCTCATATTAACAATGCCTCCACCTCCCCCATTGTCCACACAAACTATGGTGACATTCTGGGCACAACATCCCCCTACTGTCCCAACATTAAAGTCTTCAAAGGCATTCCCTATGCGACACCTCCCACAGGCGAACTCCGCTGGAAGCCCCCGGTCAAGCCCCAGCCATGGAGCGGCACATACAACGCAACAGAGTTTAGCGCCCAATGTCCCCAGGCCCTAAATATGGGCACCGGCCTCTGGACGACCGGCTCAACGGATCAAAGCGAAGACTGTCTCTACATGAACATCTGGACTCCTACCACCACACCTTCCACCCCGCTACCCGTCTACATTTGGGCCTACGGCGGCCGCTTCGTTGACGGCTCCGGCGACGTCGCAACCTACGACGGCAGCGGCCTCGCCTCGCAAGATATCATAACCATCACCTTCAACTTCCGCCTCGGCCCTCTCGGCTTCCTCGCCCACCCTCTTCTCTCCGCCGAATCCCCTCACAACAGCTCCGGAAACTACGGAATCCTTGACATCATCGCCGCCCTGGAATGGGTGCAAGCCAACATCGCCTCGTTCGGCGGCGATCCCGCTCGCGTTACTGTGGGCGGCCAATCCTCCGGCTCGTCCTGCTCCCTCGACATGATGTACTCCCCTCTCGCCGACGGTCTAGCATCAGGGATCATCGCCGAAAGCGGCGCGCGATCTCCTCGGGACCCCCTAATAGGTAGTCTCGCAACAAGCTCCCGTCAGAAAGACGAAGCCGAATCCACTGGCCTCTCCGTGATGACCTCGCTCAACGCATCAACCCTCTCCGAAATGCGTGCTCTCTCCGTCTCAACCCTCCTAACAACTGACCTCCTCAACGCCACCATCTTCGACAACACCAACTACCAAAACGTCAGCACCTTCATGGAAGCTCCAGAATGGCGCCCCGTCCTGGACGGCTACGTCCTTCCACACACCTACGCTTCCACTCTCTCAAACAACACCCACCCCAACATCCCCATCCTAACTGGCAACAACAAAGACGAGTCTGGCGCCGCTACAGACCCAGGATTCACACTCTCCACCTTCCGTTCCAACTTCTCCACCATGTTCGCGCCTTTCCCACATCTCGCTGAAGAATTCTTCTCCCTATACCCAGCCAACGACACAGAATCAACCACCCCAGCCAATAACGCCTTCTGGGCAGACCTCGGTAGAGTAAGTACCTGGTCCTGGGCCCTAGATTGGTACGCCGGCGGCGCTACAGCTCCCGTGTATACGTATTTCTGGGACCATGCGCCGCCGGGACAGACTCTGGGTGCGTTCCACGGAAGTGAGATGTACTATGTCTTTGGGAACTTGCCATATAACTATCCGGATATGCCGTGGACGGAGCGGGACTTTGAGATTGAGAGGATGATGGTGGCATATTGGGCGAATTTCATCAAGTATGGGGATCCTAATGGGGAGGGGTTGGTGAAGTGGGAGCCTAGTGGGGAGGAGAAGGAGACGATGTATCTGGGAAATGAGTTTGGGAAGGGTAGGTTGACGGATGGGGAGGAGAGAAGGGAGTTGATGTTGCAGTGGCTGGCGGAGGCGGAGGTTTGGTGAGCATGGTGTAGAAGATGGGGTTGGTTGCATAAGGAGAGGGAAAAGAGCCGAGAATTGATGACTTAAGAAATCTACAGTATATATAAATACAACAACCACTCTATCTGGAGCTCCTGTTTCTCATAATCAATAAAAAAGGGCCCGTTATATCACTCAGTGCCGTGAAACTCTTATTGACGCAGTGTCCCACTTAATCCCTTTGGCTAGAAAGCCTAGAAGGAATTAACATGCCGCGGAACCGGCTTATGTGAGGGAGATAAAAAAAGATCTTGTCTGTAATTTTTCCGCAGACAAATAAAAGATTTCATTGTATTCAAACACAAAGAATGGATATCTATAGCGGGATGCTCTGTTTGCGGCATATGCCACGTCATAAAGTTTGATATAGGCGTCACCACCACCTCAGTGCCACAACCGTTCAGTGGCAATAAACCATACATTTATGGCCCTCTCGCTGCGCATTGTCAATTTCAAATTTAACATCAATCGTGGTATTATGCAAACAAGGACAAACTCCAACCATCCCAGAAAAACACGAACTCCTCCTTCGGGAAATACAGAATCCCAAACGGTATGAATAAATATCATATAAACTTTGGGGGCCATTCATCCTAACCAAGCAATTCCACGCAGATACAATGCCTGGATAATACACCGGGACTGTCAAACAGTACAATGATGAGGGCCAATTTGGCTATGTAAGCCCAGCCTTCGGAGGAGAGGACATCTATTTCATCTTCGATCCCCCATTTGAGTTACGGGATTCTCAGCCTCCTAAAGCGAGCCAGCGTGTGTCCTTTGATTTGCTCCAAGTTGCTGGGGGCTCACAGGCTATTAATGTTGAGGTGGTACCCTGATTTCTGGGAGGGGGTGCTGAATCGCGGAGTTGTCTCTAATTGTATGATGGAGTCTCGGGTTATGGGATAATTAGTGCTGTTTGATCATCCTGTATCCTTAATTTTGAATATGATCTGGTCTTGTTCTTGCTTTGGTACTGGATTGACGGTGACGTTATGATCGTATTGTTTGCTTTGGGTATCGATCCGTAGTTACCCTTATAGATCTCGGGATTTTTGCCTGGATGAAGCAGAAATATCTACCAAGTAAATGCCTCCTCGAAGTACCGTATCCCACGACACCCCCTTCTCATAGCCTCATACACCGCTAACCGACACTCATCTGCCATCATTCCAGGTCCAGAGCAAAGCACCGCCAGCCTCGTGCTGCACTCATGAGCCATTTCAGCCTCCGTCTCAACAGCTCCGCGGATATCGGGTCGACCATCATAGAATCGCATATCTGACGCTGCTGCTTTTGTCTCAGACCTAACAGCGACCTCTTTATCGCTTTCAATTGGTGAAGCCAGAGCACTTCCAGTACAGAAAAAGCTAACTTGAACACCCTGACATTCCAACACATGGCTCAGTTTTTCTGTGAAAACAGTAGAGAACATACCATTCTGACGAGCGGACCATATGAGATGTACTCTTGTCGTCTCCGTAGTTTGTCTCTTCAACCGGGCGGCATAGTCGAGTATATATGGCAATGTAGCTGCGATGCCTGTCCCTCCAGCAATTAACAGGGCCGTGTCGAATGTATGCAGTGGTGCTGTGTGACCATATGGACCTTCTAGCAGGAGGAGTGGGTGGATAGTATTATTTGCTTGGATGCAGCGATCACGAAGCGATTTTGTCCAGCCGTTGTAAGGGCGGACGTAGAATGTCAATTTGCTTTTTACCTTCGGCAGACGGCATGATGCTTGGTAATATGCACCCAGTGCAAAAGGGTGGTTTTCCACAATATGCACGCTCAGTGGCTGGGAGAGGAAGTAGTGTTGGCCTGGCTTGGGTGTGAGATGGGAGGGTGCCTCTATATCTATCGTCATTAGGTCGCTGTCGGGAGCGTAGGTAACGGTTGATGATGGCAGAGAGATCTTGCTTTCGCTGACTTGTGTGCGGAGGTTGCAGTATGCGATGCGAAGTACGCGGAGGATGCGATCGAAGGTCCATATAGCTACTACAGTCCAAAGGTATGGGTTCCACTGCGGCCCGTCGGGGCGGGTATGTCTAATGGGTTTAGTAGAGGAGTGAGAAATGGGAGGTTGACCTACTGAAATAGAGCATAAATGATGATAATGGCCAGTACGATATGGGAAATCAGGAATATCTCGTACCACTTGCGTCGTAGCCATGTGATGGAGTGGATTAACAAAACTGACATGGCAACAACCGCCTGAAGATGTTAGCATAGGTCAGCAGAGGATGCAAACAGACTTACAATTACGCCCATGTACCACGGTTTATGGCTCCACGCTTCGTGATATGCGTCCTCTGAATTGTTAGTGGTGCAATTGAAGTGAGGACGAAAGGCTTACCATAGTCTGCTAAAATTATGCTGTACCCAATCGAGTGGACAATGGCAAGGAGTGTGCACGCCCATGCAATATGCCGATGGAATGTGTTGAAGGATTGAATGTCAAAGTTGGT